CCTGAGGATGTGGAGGAGGAAACGGGGGGGTGGAGAATTTCTCTGGGGGGGTTTGGGAAGGGGGGGGGGGGAGTGCAAGTGGAAAGTGAACATTGATGATGATGATGATGAGGAGAGACGATATGAAGCTTGAGAAGGACGAGGAGGTAAAGGACTTGCTGGTGTTGCTGGCAGTGAGAGCACCGGAGGAGGTAGTGGAGGTGCTGAGGATGGATTGGGCGGGCGGCGCTCTCGACCCGGACTCGTCGCCGCAGTGCAGGAATACCTGCTGTCGCGTCTTGCCTACGTCGAAGGGGGTGGTGATGAGCGCTGCAAGGGCGCCGGATATGGCGCCGGCGGCAAAGCTGTCGAGGAATGTCATGGTATTTTCGTGGTGTGGGTGGACATTGCGATGACTGTGAAGTTGCTGCTGTTGGCGATGATGGCGATGGCCATCCGCGAGGCGCGCAGTCGGAAGAGCCATCGCCTTCAACCGCATATCCGTAAGGAAGGTCTTGACAGACTCATACCCCAACCAATACAAAGCGGAGAAAGGCACATCCCGCCACATCGTAAGTGTCAGTCCCCGCCAGAGCGAGCTATACCCCAGCGTCTGAGTCATCTGATGCAGCCGTTGGAACGTGGCTTTGAAATGGTTTGTCCCCGTCCCCGACGTAGCTTGCAGCCGTGTCCTGAACATTTCAATGGGACTGATGACCGATGCAGCGGCAACACGAGCTATACCACCGGCCACTAGCGGGGCATATGTGTCATTAAAGACCTGGTTCACGGGGCTATGTTTGTCGTAGCGCAACCAGTCATAGCCCGTGAAGTAGATGACGTTCGCTGGGATTGCCATTATTAGGGTGGGACTGAGGCCGCGCCAGAGCGATAAGACCCCTTCATTCCTGGCAATCTTGCGGAGCCCGTCGAGTGTGGATGTGAACCTTCTTCGCCGGGTTTCTTCTACCGCACAGCCTGCTGTGGCACTGGCAGAGGCTTGGCTACTGATTGCCGAACCATTTGCTCCCACCATGCAAAACTGTGCGTTGTTTCCGACCCAGAACACTTCTCGACAGCAGGATGTGACCCCAAGGTTTGGGGGAAGTTCCCTGAAAGCGGGAACGGAGAATACATCTCCAGAATTACGGACGACAGGAGTTTGCGATTGGAGACGAACACGGACAACGTCAAGAGGCGTCACTAGAGAAGATGTTAGTTGATCGATAATAACTTGCAGACAGTGGGTAGGGCAATATTTACCGAGTAGGGAGGTTAGGAGACTTCCCCATGTCGCCGAGATCATCTTCTGGGCCGCAGAAACATTGTTGTATTCCTGGTGAGCTCCAGAATGGCTTCCCGAGCTTCCACTGGCATCGCTGGGGCCCATCGGTGCCGTCCTTTCATGGTGTAGGAACAGGTTCCTCTCTCCCAAATCACCGTGTTGCCCTTCCTTCGTATAAGTCTCTTGCAAATGTGGCCACGTTGGCAAACCCACATTCGCAGACATTCAACTACGTTGCCGTGGGATACCGATATAGGTTACACCCTGATATTATCTTTCGATATCTGGGTTAAATTTTGTTTTCAAATATGTGCCCCCTAATTACACGGCAGAAGTTCGAGAGGAAATAAAGGACTGTGGAGAGCGGAAGAGCGGAGGAGGAAGGGCGGGGAGCAGAGATGATGAAAAGAAGTGCGGACCCCAAGTTCCAAGTTCTTGATTTTCTTAAACGCAACAATGGACTTGAAAAAAAAAACGTTCGACTGGGCAAAAGACGAGGATTTCGTCGGAGAAACCTTCAGCCGATAGCGCCGCGCTTTTGCCGAAGCAGGCGGTGGGGAGAGATGACGTAATAGATGGCGCTTGGATGGATTTGGGATTAGCGCGCGGCAGAAGCAACGCTATTAGTCATTCGCGAATGACTCCTTTTAACTAACTCTCAGCTGCGGAACTGAAGTGGAGCAACGCAGAAGATATATATATATATATATATATGAACAGAGCAGGTTTTCCACGCTGAATTGAAAGATGGTCCCAACCGATTTAGATGGTTGATGGGCTGTTTGACGTGTTTGTTTGGAGATTGGGCTGAAAAACATATATATTGTTTCCCACGTTGAAAAAGCCTCTGGAAGGCTAGCTAATACAACACCCGCTGCAATGGAGCCAAATGACGATGAACTGGAGTCCTTTCGCCGTCAATGGCGGGAAGAGGTCTCTGCACGGGCTAGAGCGGCCACTGCTTCACTGCCAAAATCTCAGCAACAGGCCTCTCAGCAGCCTCCCGATGTAGAATTAAGTCATAGATTGCCCCCGCGCCATCTGGCTGCTGGCCAGGCAGAGTACGAGGAACTGGTGACAACAGGGGCAAAATCTGCACCACGCGCACATGAACAGTTGGTAGACCCATTACGGACGTTACATGTCACGTCCGGCGATGACGACTCTTTCCATCGCCCGCCGGAGAGACAGCCAACCTCCGCGCTCGATCACTTTGAAGCTGCGGCGCTGAAGGAAGCCCAGGGGAGTCTTAGAACAAGTTTAGATTTGTACAGAAAAGCTTATAGGGTAAACTTGATTCAGCCCCTGAAAAACTTATAGAAATTAGTCAGTCACTTTTCATTCATGAAGAGCTTGCTAATATCTTTCACAGCTTGACTCCATGGTTGACCAGCTCTACCGAACAAAGTACTGTACTCCCTCCCTGAAAATAGCTGGTATCACCCCTCCGGGTGAGCCGGTGGCAGTCCCAAAAACCCCCCGTAATCCACAGGAGGAGCCCATTCTGTCTACGCCGGAGTTGATAGCTTCCTTTGCTTCCTGTCCAATCGTCGGTGCGGACCCGATGATAGAGAATACCCCCACACCACCCTGTCCCATCTCAAAAGTTCCGTCCGAAGTGCTTATAGAAATTCTCTGGCACGTGGCTCTTTTGGATCCAGCTGCCTTCAGAAGCTTGTCACTTACTTGCAAGAGACTGGCATACCATTTTGTCTCAGAGCAGCATATATGGAAGAGACTCTGTCAGGGGTCCGAGTTTGGCTTCCGGGCGATGCACTATGACTTCTCATGTGATGTGCGATGGCGCCGGATACATTCATTTTTGCCGAAGTTTACTCTTTCCCCCTTTGACCAGGCCCTTTGCGTGATTCCAAAACCCTTTTTATCCTGGAGTCAGGTATTCCAGACCTTTCCACGGATCAGATTTACTGGGATATACATCAGCACAGTAAACTACACACGACCAGGTGCCAATTCTACACTGCAAAATATCTCCTGGAATACCCCGATTCATATCGTGACTTACTATAGATATCTGCGCTTCTACCCCGACGGAAGCGTAATTTCACTTCTGACAACTACCGAACCCATCGACGTCGTCCCACATATCAGCAAAGAGAACCTCGAAACCCTCTACGTTGGAACGAACGCCCACCGTCGACACCAGCAGAGCGCTTCAGACAAGGCTTCAGCGGGAGCTCCTCTTGCCAACCCAATCCCCCCAATCCCCCCAGTCGCTGCTGCCGCACTGAAAAGCTGCCTCCGTGGCCGATGGCACCTTAATAACCCTTACCCGCCGACGCCGCTTGTGACTGAGCTTCCTGAAGTGTCGACTGTCCCTTCAGCTACAACAACACAAGCAGCCCCAGCAAACCCCACTCCACCGCCTAGCAGGTTTAGATCAGCATCCACCACAACCTCCGCAGCTGGCGGCAGTAATGTAATGCCGGACCCCCGCGACCTGTTCATCGAAACCGAAGGTGTAGACCCTAAATATACCTATACAATGCATCTGGCTCTGCGATCGACTACTGGCGGTCGCGCGGTGAGTGAGAATGCGCCAATACCGTCAAACCCATCGAAAAATACGAAGCTGGTGTGGAAGGGATTTTGGAGCTATAATCGACTTACGGACGATTGGGCTGAGTTTGGGTTACGGAATGATAAGGCTTTTGTGTTTAGGAGGGTTAAGGGGTGGGGAATGGAATAGATGTTGTTATTTTAGCGCTTGATTGTTTGCATGTCATGATTTATGGTTTTTATTTAATTTTTCACCCCTGTTTTATCTAATGATAAGGAATTGGTTGAACGGTTTCTGGTTTCTTTTTCTTTTTCTTTCGGGAAAAGTGGCTTCGACGTTTTGACTTCTGGAGCTGTGCGTTCCGTCCCGGGAAACTGATCGTGTCATGACGAACATATGCATTTTCTAGATGCATTTTAGATATCTCTAGTGGAGACTACTGCAAAAGATAGACATGAAACACGACATAAGCGCTTGTATACAAGGAATGTGGAAACGGCCAGGTCAAACAAGAAGCTGAAGGGGGTATCATGTTTCTATAGTAATCTGCGATACAATAGCTTATTTTGCAGACACGATGAATAGGGGTTGAACAATATTAGGACATTTCAAAGTGCCGCATTTTTTCTTTTCTTTTTTTTTTTTTTAAAAAAAAAGAAAAGAAAAGAGAAAAGAAAAAGAAAAAAGGGAGGGAGGGAGAGAGAGAGATACACCTACGCTATGCGATAGAATGATGGAAGAGGTGTTGACCATATGGCTCCACCAAAACCGCCCGTCTGGCGTCATAATAAAGCAAATAACATCCACCAAAGATTTACGCAACGATCTTGTAACTGCCCCCACTAACGACCTCCAACTTTCCCTTCGAAACCATCTGGCTCAAAAATGCTCTCAGCTCCTCACTGCTAAAGGGGAACCCACCAGGCACTACTATCTTCAGCATCATGATGATACGCTGCAAAGGCATTGCCCCCTGGTTCGTCAACATCCCCACGATGAATTGCCAGTAGAGATCCATCTTCGCCATTGCTGCAGCGTCCGCTGATTCTTTTGTCGCTGCCGCAGCGACTGCAGCTGCAGAGGATATATTTGGAGGACTGGCAGCACTGAGTAGAAGTGTCCCTGAAGATGGGCCGGTGGTGATTGCATCGCCGCCTGGCCGGGAAGGGTCATTTTCGTCCTCTTCGTCTGGTATTGTTTCGAGAACGCGGAAGGTGTCTGGTTGCGGTTCGATAAGAATACGTTTGCTGACCCAGAAGAGACAGGCGCTGTGGACGAGTGTAGGGGCCATTTCCAGTTGCTGAGAGAGCTCGGGGACGGTTTTGGTTACTGGGGTGATTGGGCCGGTTGGGGAAGGCGAAGAGTGGGGTGATTGAAAGGCATATATTACGGCAGCTTGCCAGGTAGTGACTTCGGCTGTGAATACGCGGTCTTCGAGGTCGAGCTCGACAGTAACTTGCCCTAGGCCGTTGAGCCAGGCCAGCTTGCGAGATTGCTTTAGTGACTCGAATCCCGCGGAGTATTTTGCCTGCAACGAGGCGATTTCTGGAGGAACTTTGAATTGGGGATTTTGGAGGGTGGGCCAGAAAAGGCGGGAGAGAATCTTAGCATGTAGTTCCGGCATGTTGTCAATTGATTGTGAGGGATTTCCTTTGTTTTCAAGCTTCTGCTCTGCACGGATGGCAGAATCGACTCGTTCTGAGCTTTGAACGTCACGGAGCATGACCTGACAGGCTTGAAGAGCTGAGTCACCAAATCGAAGCTTCAACAATTCCAGCAGGGATACTTCTAGATCATAATTTTCACTGTTTTTAAGTAGGCGCTCTCCAAGCACTTTCTGGAGTTCTTTTACAAAGGCGTCTTTTGTTTCAAAGAGGCTTATTAGACTGCCAATGACGTCGGAGTTCTTGGACTTCTTGTAATCCACAGCAACGTCGACTGGATCGGGCATCCAGTTCATGTCATCCCAGCCCAGCTCGCCAGCATCATCCTGAAGCAAGAGCTCATGTGCCTTTGACAGCTCGATTGCCAATTCAACGAGTGTATCGGGATTGGATGTGATGGGTTGTCCATTCGCATCCACTGTGTCAGCTAGTAGGCCGCCCACAATAACTTTAACTGTGTCTTCCCGATCTCTTAGATATCTTCGAATTGGGCGAGCAACGTGATTGAGAAGCACCCCTCGAGGATCTAGCTGAGTAAAAGCGCGGATGATGGATATATATATTTGAAGTATCTCGACGGTTGACGCACCTGGATGAAGAAGCCGCTGCATCAACATTGTTACAAAGGAACTGACGAGATATAGACGGGTTGCAGGATTAGTAATGTAGTGTTTTAAGTCCTCGATTGCACCGCTGCTAGAATCCCACTCAATAATGACATCGAATAGCTCACTGATCCGAAGGGCGCCTAGTCGCGCAATTCCCATTTCTTGCCACCTTTCAACATCGTTTAGCGTGACATCTAAACGATCTTCAGGAGCCTCTGCAGCGTCATTACTTTTGAAAATATGCAGGACCCGTACAACTAATCGGGCAAAAACATTTTCCGTCCACTGTCGCAGATGCTCTTTGACATGGGAAGGAGATTTCCATTGACCCGCGTAAGAACAGGTAACGAACTCGGTCAACATGTTATTCATGACCCCAGCAAATATCTTTTGAGCTTTATTGCCTCCAAGTCCAACTTCTTGGAGTCCTTC